GGCACGTCTCCACCAACCGTGGTCGCTGGCTGGAACCAGCGCCGTTTCGAAGTTGCACCTGCATGGGCAACTCCAGGGAGTGCACAGCGCCGCGCTGTCAGGCCCACCGGTCCGCTTGATCATTTCCAGGATAAGCGCCGCTGGAAGGCCTGCGACCGTCGTCGTGGTGCCATTATCAGTGAAGTCCACGGGGGCAGTGGCAAAATGTTGTCTGACGTCGATTCCGGATGGTGCCTCGATCCCCCTGCACTTGTGGGCTTCAACCAAGAGTCCTGCCGTCCTTGCGAGCCAGGGCAGCGCAATGCCAGCGCGGAGTGTTTGGGCAGTGGCGCCAAGAAGGGCGGCCAGGTCGCCCACGTGTGTCGGGTCGTCCGCCCCAGTGATGTTGGCAAGGGCGCTGATGAGAGGGTCGTGCCCCAAGCACCAGAGGAGCGGGGAGGCGGTGCCTCCCGTTCCGATGGATCGTAGGAGTCTCCCTATCCTGCTCTTGCATTTCCGTTTGCAGGCACGCGCGCTCCTGCTGCTGACCAGGGCATCCACGGAGTGAAGGAGCCAGCTGGGGAGTTGCCAACGTTTCGTCAGCTGCCCCATCCATTGCAGGGATATACGCTCAAAGGCTTTGTTCTGGTCGCAGGAGAGGACGGCAGTGCTGGGGACAGGGCCGAAGTGCCTCGTGGCGCATTGTATATAATGGTCTACAGCCTCTTGGTGCACGCCGAGCAGGGCCGCCCACGATGGCCCGGGTTCGGTGTCGGCCGCCGGATCCAGGGCGAGGTGGTTGGTGGCGGATGTGAGATTGGGACCACACTGTCCCCCGCGCTTGGCCGCTTGGTTAGGGCTGAGCCTGGGTTCGATCACGGGGCCGAGGCGGTCGGCTACGGTTGCACCGTGCAGCCTCCGTAGGCAGGTGGGGAGCTGTAAGGGTCGCATATCGTTGGGTAGCTCAACGGCAGGTTTTTTGCCGATCCATACCAGAAGATCGATGGAGGGGCATAGGACATGGTCTATGAGTTCTGGGTTCAGATCCGCGGCGTACCAGGCTTGGGCGAGCAGGCCGGCAACGAAGCGGGCCCCAGGATGGTACAGTTCGTGCGGTTCTCCGTCCACCCCAGGAGCGCTGCCGCTCGGACCCAGGACGAGGGAGGCGATCCTGCCCCACTGCGGGTTGGGGGAATCCGGGAACTGCCCAAGATCCTTGTGTCTGAACTATTCGTCGAGGATACGGTCCGCAGCTGGGGGAAGGGGGGGGGGCGGTTTGCCAGATCTGACTTCGGCTCCGCCATAGGACGTCGTCGACTTCCTTCGCGCGCTCCTTCCGCCTCCCATCAGGGTCACGCACACCCAGGATAGCGCGCGTCTTGACGAAGATTTCAGGGCCCGCGCGGTAGTGGGAGGCGAGAGCGGGGCGTTCGACTCCAGGGCCCCTTTGTACGGGGGTGAGGCGGGCGGCACGTCTCTGAGCAGTGTCGTTGTCCCAATTTCGCAGCCAAAGGGCAGCCTGCTGGGGGGTCAGGTCGTTACCGTCCCACTCTTATTCGGCAAGCCAGGCCGCGAGTGTCCCCACTGGGCGTGTGCTGGACTCGGATCTCGCCGCCGCAGCGAGCAGGGCACCTGGTGAGCGGTTGGTTTTGCTCCTGCGCCACTTCCTCCACCAGTCTTGTATGGCCGCGGACATGGCGTGGCGACCAAGAGTGAGAAGGGCAGGCATAAGGGGAACGGTGTAATCGTCAACCAGGTTGGGGGCCGGAGGTGGAGCTGACGGCTCCTGTTCTCTCTCTCCCTCGCCGTCGTCGTTGTCACTGTGTCTGGCTGGGAACTGCCCAGGGGCCGCCGGACGGACCCAGTCGGCGGGTTGTAGGAGGCCGGTCAGGTCGATGTCAGGCAGCCCGAATGTGCGCTCGAGGAAGGCGTAGAGGGTTCTTAGCTCCGCATGCGCCTCGCTCGGGAGCAGGCGCAGGTCACCGGCACGAATGGTGTTGTCTCTGCGAGTTCTGGGGGCGCCCTGAGGTTCCAGGTACAGGATGGCGTGGTCAGAAACTGAAGGCTTCCAGGCCGTCCTGACTCCATAGACCCCGAGCTGTCGGAAGGGGCACGCAACAATGTCGATTTGTGACTCGTTGTCCGCGTCCACCCTGGTGGGCCCGTCACAGTGGCAGACGCTTGACCCGGTGAGCGCGAGTAGGTCGGAGAGAGCCGCAGCCTCGTCAGTTTCGCCATCTTTGGGGTTGTCAATTTGTATGTTCATGTCACCCCCCCAATACGTGGGGGTATCATGCCATCTCTCGATGGCCTGACGAATGGCATCGATGGTTTCGGGTTTCCTGGACGGAGGGGGGTACACAGATACCAGGCGGTAGGTGTTTTCACCTCGTCTGATCGTGGCTGCGACGGCGCACCCAGGGACGAGGTCTTCGGCCCGGAGAATCGTTGCGCCATGCGGAATGAGGATTGCCACTCCGCCGGCGCGGCCCCCAGCTGGTCCGATGTAGGCTGGTGAGGCGATAAGAGTGCGTGCGTGGAACATGGTGGACCAGACGGCCGCTTCGTGCTCCGTCCAGTGGGTCTCCTGTATGAGTCCGATCCTCCCGTTGGTGGTCATCTGCGTTAAGAAAGCGTGTTTGATCATGTTTTTGTGAGCAGTCGTGCTCTTGAGGTACCTGACGCTCCAGCAGCCCAGTTTGAGCGTGCCGGGCTGAGTGGCATTTGCGATTGCGTCGACCAGGGCCCGCAAGGAAAGGTCCCCGCAGAGGTCCGCCCACGTGGGGTTGTTCCAGGCGGTTGCATGTAGGTAGGCCCAGAGGGATCGCGGCCGCCGGACGGTGTAATTACAGTGTAGCGCCAAGGCGCGTCCCAGGGAGGAGCTGGCGGCTTGCCAAGCTCTAGTTCTCGCCCCCGGAACGAGATTCGCGAACGGGGGAGACCCGAGGGCGCGGTGCAGCGTCCCTGGGTCTTCATGCGAGTCTAGGGGAGCGGCGGCCCGTAATCAGCAAACTGCTGCTGCAGCATGGTTCGTACTATGTCGCCTGGGAAAGGGTTTTCGGCAAGCGGTGCCCAAGGGTAATTTCTGTCCGCGAAGCTGCGCGCCTGTCTCCATGCGGCCCACATGTGTCGGTGGTGGGGCTACGCGAAGCGTCTAGAATAGCGGTCGTGGCCAGGCACGTCGTGGGCCAAGGACGTGTGGATACACCCTCCAGGCTTGGCCAGGAAGGCGCAAGTATGCAGCTCCGATTTGGGGCTGCTCTCCGAAAACCCAAATACCTTCAGAAGACCCCCGCGAACTTGGATGACCACCGAAACGACGCACAACACATCAAATGAACCTGGCGCGACCTCAATTGAGAGAAAACTTCCCAAGCAAGCAGGAGTAAGCAGGCAAGTAAGCAGGTGAGGGAGTACGCACATAAGTAAGCAAGTACAAAGGAAACACGTAGGTATCTACGTACGCGGAAGGAATCCGCCGGCCCCCTTGTGGGGCCACCATGCTGTAGGCCTAAGGTTCGCAATTTCCTGAACCAGTTGCAGCTTCCAGTTTCAACTGTTACAGTTCTGCTTCTTGCTGCTTACTGATACTATTCTGCTTCTTGCTGCTGACTGTTCCTTGTTGATGGACCGCGCGAGGGGGGGAGGCCCAAAACGACAATTTTTACCACGCCCTGAGCGTATGCTCCGAATTGCTGGGGTGGGTGAAAATTGACACCCCTCACGCAGATCGGCGGGGTCAGGGTCCAAAACCATATGGGATTTGCCACATTTCTGAAATTCGGTGGCACCTCTCACGCAGATCGGCAGGGTCAGGGTCAAAAACACATAGGGTTTGCCACATGACTGACATTCGCTGGCACCCCTCACGCAGATCGGCGGGGTCAGGGTCCAAAAACATGTGGGATTTGCCATCATTCTGAAACTCGGTGGCACCCCTCACGCAGATCGGCAGGGTCAGAGTTCAAAAACACAAGGGATTTGCAATATTTCTGACATTCGGTGGCACCCCTCACTCAGATCGGCGGGGTCAGGGTCCAAAACCACACAGGATTTGCCACATTTCTGACATTCGTTGGCACCCCTCACGCAGATCGGCGGGGTCAGGGTCCAAAAACTCAGGATTTTCCACAGTTCTAAAAATTCGGAGGCACCCCTGACGCAGATCGGCAAGGTCAGGGTCCAAAAACACATAGGATTTTCCACAATTCTACAAATTCGGAGGCACCCCTCACGCAGATCGGCAGGGTCAGGTGAAATTCGGCGGCACCCCTCACGCAGATCCGTAGGGTCAGGGTCAGAAAAACATCCGTGACGCAGATCCGTAGGGTCAGGGTCAAAAAACAAACAGGTCCCGACACTGTTTCACGGCGGCGCCCAGACCTTGCACCTTCCATTATCCGAGACAGGGGGCCGGCGGCATGGGGCGAAGCCCTTGCGGATAACAAAAAAATCAAGTCCAAGGACCCACAAAACAAAACCAAGGAACCAAGGAACCCCAAGACCAAGAAACGAGGAAACCAAGAACAATGAACCAAGGAGCCAAGACGAATGAACCCAGGATCCAAGGAACGAAGACCGAGGAACCACAGAACCAAGAACAAGGAACCAAGACCAGAGGACCGAGGAGCCAAGACCGAAGAACCTTCAATGAACCAAGACCAGCAAACCAAGAAATCAAAACCAAATAACCAGGGAACCAAAACCAAAAACACGGAAGCAAGACCAATGAACCGAGGAAGCCAGCAGGAACAAAAACTCAGGCATCCAACGAGGGACCAGGGGCACGGCGACCCCGATCCCAGACTTTGTGGTACCTTCGACTGAACGAAAAAAAAAAAACGCCCAACGCTGGGAAACACGAAGGGGGGGCGCCCATCCTCGATACGGGCGCACCCGAATACAACCCCCCGAGGTTCCCTTCTTTTCCAACTGGCCGGCTTGGGGAAGGGGGGGCTCGGGCCAGAGGCTCGGGGAATGGAGGTGAGAAATCCCCTGCGGTAGATGGCGGTCCCCCAGACCTGTCGACCCGGAGCCACAGCCCGCTGTCCTCGACGTGGCCGCAGACCTCCTCGCCCCGCGCCGCGAACAGATGGTGCCTGTCCTGCAGGTCCTTGGACCTCCGGTACTGGATGCCCGGGTAGCCCCGGGGCACCCGCACCACGAAGGACGTCTGCGCCTCGCGTCTCAGTGGGGCTGCGCGAGGAATCTCGCGCTAACAGTCCGCCGAATGAGGAACGAAGGGGCGCTTCTGGCCACGAACACACTCCCCGACTACCTACCAGGCCACCCTCACCCAACCCGAGGTCCCGAATTTTGGGTTGGGGTGCGCACGGTTTCCACTATGTTTTCGCTGTTCCGGAACGTCCCCCCACCAGGAATAGAGAACAAAGTGGGACCTTCGGGGTGAGTGGGGGTGGTTTGGTGGGCAGTGAGACCTCGACCTGAAGGGACGGCCCGAATACGAGAGCCCCCTCTGAACCCAAGCGCCGATCGGACACGACGCAGAGGCAGCGAGGGACCGACGGGGCCCGAGGACGAGGGCCCAGGGAGGCCGAGAGGGGACCGAGACGCCCAGGGAAAGACCGGGCGCACGTCGCTGATGTTTGCACAAACACTCTCGCCCTCTCGTGCGGGCCATCCCTCTTCGACTGCGGGGAGCGCCCACTGGAGTTGAAGGCCCCATGGGCCTGCGACAAATTCGGGTCCTGGGTCACCTGGGGTGGTGATCGGCGCTGCCAAGCGCGCGGGACCTAGGAAGGCTGGACGGGTCAGGACCCTACGAGGGGCCCTGATACAGTAAGGGTTGGCATGGTGAACAGTACGCAATTAAAGATGGTTGCCCACGTGGACCCCAACTAAAAAAATGTTCCAGCGTTGAGGTGCAAGCTATGTGGTGCAAGTTATGCGGTGCGTGCTATGTGGCGCAACATATATATATATATATATACACACGCACGCTAGAACCATCGCGCGCGCTTCGCGCGCGCTCAGGTTCTAGTTGAGGTCACCGCTCAGGTGCAATGCCCGCGACGATTCTTAGCACGAAAACGGCGGCGTGCACTCCGCTCGCGTTCGCACGCCATGTTCCGGAGGAGCGTTCCCGGAGCATGGGGCACCAGAGGCTCCCCCGCTCTTCCCCCGTTCCGGACTATCCTGCCGAGGAACTCTTGGGTTGCGTAGGGCCGGTCTTGCGGGCTCCCTGGGGCTCTCTGGGCCCGCTCAGGGCTGTCTGGGAGCGGACATGGAGGCGCGCTGGTCCCTAGTGGAGCGTCGGAAAGCCGAAAAGACAACAAGGCCAAGATCCTCCAATTCCTACGTAAAATGAACGATGTTGGCCTGTTGGGACCCTCTTGGGGGTGCTCCTGGAGGCGTCTTGAGCCATGTTTGAGGCCTCTTGGGAACTACCTGGGGCCTCCTGGGGCTCTCTTGAGGCGGAAGCCCTGGGTTTGGACACCTCTCAAGCATGTTTTGGGGCACTCGTGGGCTGCCCTGGGCGCTTCTTGGGCCAGCTTTGGGCTCTCCAGGACCGCCTCGGGGCGGCCTTGGGCGCTTCTGGAGCTGTTTGGGGGCGGTCTCGGAGGCCTCCTGGGCCGCTTAGGAGCGTCGGAAGGCCAAAACCCTTCGAAAACTATGGTAAAACCATCAATGTTTGGCCTGCTGGGGCCCTCGTGGGATTGCTCTTGGAAGCGTTTAGAGCTATGTTGGAGGACTCTTGGGGGCTGCCTGGGGCCTCCGGGGTCCCTGTTGAGGCCGGAGCCCTTGGTGTTCGGTACGCGGTCCCTCTCTTGGGCCCTTCTTGGGCTTGTTTTGGAGCCTTCGTGGGCTGTCGTGGGCGCTTCTTGGGCCAGCCTTGGGCTCTCCGAGGCCGCCTTGGGCTTGTCTTGGGGGCCTCTGAGGCTGCTTGGGGGCGGACCTGGAGACCTCCTGGGCCGTCGTGGAGCGTCGTACAACCGAGAAAACCAAAAGTCCCAAATCCTTCCAAAAGCATGTGAAAACCAGCAATTTTGGCCTCCCAGGGCTCTCTTGGGAGTGCTCCTGGAAGCGTCCGGAGCCATGTTGGAGGCCCCCCGAAACCTCTACCACGTGCTTCGGCGACATGGGTCGAAGATGGGAACCATTCCTGGTGCTGAAACAGCACCAGGGTCCGTCCAGAGCCGCTCGGGAAACGCCCCGGAGCGGCTCTGGAGAGGCCCGGGGGGGGGTCCCCCCATGGCGACTCGAGGCACCTGGCCAGAGGCCCCCGGCCCCGTACCCCGACATCTCTCTCTCTCTCTCTCTCTCTCTCTCTCTCTCTCTCTCTATATATATATGTACACATATACATCTACATATACATATACATATACATGTACATATACATATACATATACAGATGCATATACATATACATATACACATACATATACATAGACATATACATATACATATACATATAACATACATTTACATATACATATACATATACACATACACATACAAATACATATACATATACATACACACATACGTATACATATACACATACACATACACATACATGTACATGTACATATACATACATATACATATATGTATATGTGTATATATCTACTAGAACCACGCGCGCGCTTCGCGCGCGCTTAGGTTCTGTCGAGTCACAGACCCAGGAATCGTTGTGAGAAGAAATTGGTGACGCGAAGCGTCGTGGGGGCGTCCTTGGACGTCTGGGGTCTCCTGGGGCCTCTTGAGGGGCCTCCTGGGGGCCTCCTGGCGGCCTCTTGGGGCGGAAGGCTCGAGCTTGCGGTTCGTGGTCCCCCTCTGGGCCCCCTCTTGGGCCCGTCTTGGGGCCCTCTTGGGCCATCTTGGGCGCCTCTTGGGCCGTCTTGGGGCCCTCTTGGGCTGTCCTGGGGCCCTCTTGGAAGCTTCTTGGGCCGTCTTGGGGCGGTCTTGGGCGCCTCTTGGGCCGTCCTGTAACGTCGGAAAGCCCAAAAGGCGACTTTGTGAAAATGTACGTTTTACGAAGGGAATGGGTCAATTTTGCGTCTAGGGGCCCTCTTGGGACGCATGTTGGAGGCTTCTTGGGGCGTCTTGGGGGCGTCCTTGGACGTCTGGGGTCTCCTGGGGCCTCTTGAGGGGCCTCCTGGGGGCCTCCTGGCGGCCTCTTGGGGCGGAAGGCTCGAGCTTGCGGTTCGTGGTCCCCCTCTGGGCCCCCTCTTGGGCCCGTCTTGGGGCCCTCTTGGGCCATCTTGGGCGCCTCTTGGGCCGTCTTGGGGCCCTCTTGGGCTGTCCTGGGGCCCTCTTGGAAGCTTCTTGGGCCGTCTTGGGGCGGTCTTGGGCGCCTCTTGGGCCGTCCTGTAACGTCGGAAAGCCCAAAAGACAACTTTGTTGAAAATGTACGTTTTACGAAGGGAATGGGCCAATTTTTGCGTCTAGGGGCCCTCTTGGGACGCATGTTGGAGGCTTCTTGGGGCGTCTTGGGGGCGTCCTTGGACGTCTGGGGTCTCCTGGGGCCTCTTGAGGGGCCTCCTGGGGGCCTCCTGGCGGCCTCTTGGGCGGAAGGCTCGAGCTTGCGGTTCGTGGTCCCCCTCTGGGCCCCCTCTTGGGCCCGTCTTGGGGCCCTCTTGGGCCATCTTGGGCGCCTCTTGGGCCGTCTTGGGGCCCTCTTGGGCTGTCCTGGGGCCCTCTTGGAAGCTTCTTGGGCCGTCTTGGGGCGGTCTTGGGCGCCTCTTGGGCCGTCCTGTAACGTCGGAAAGCCCAAAAGACAACTTTGTGAAAATGTACGTTTTACGAAGGGAATGGGCCAATTTTGCGTCTAGGGGCCCTCTTGGGACGCATGTTGGAGGCTTCTTGGGGCCTCTTGGGGGCGTCCTTGGACGTCTGGAGGCCATCTTCAGCATCTCGGAGCCCTCTTGGAGGCCTCTTGGAAGTTTCTTGGGCCGTCTTGGGCGCTCCTGGGGCCGTCTTGTCTGACTGGGGAGGCCTCCGGCAAGCCCCGACGAACCTCCGGGCCCCCCGGAGCCCACATTTGCGGTCGGGGTCCCGGCCCCGGGCCCCCGGACCCGGTGCGCCGTTATATGTATATATCGCATGTGGACGGCTCGCGGCTCGCGCCTGCTCGCGGCGGGCTCGTCGCGCCAGCTGCCGAGGCGAACGCCCTGACCAGGCGGCCGGCGGTGGCGAGGCTGCTCTCGGAGCGCCGCGCAGGGCGGCGGTTCGTGAGAGGCGGCACGCGGCTCGCGCCTGCTGAGGGCGGACGGCCCGCAGCAGCTGTCGAGGCAGGCGCCCAGACCAGGCGGCCAACCCTGGCCGCACTGGGTGGCATCGCCAGGCGGCTCGCGCCGGCGGCTGTGGCGAGGGTCTCTGGAGGTGCCCTGCCCTGGCCAAGGTTTTCGAAATTCTTGGCCGTCGACGCCGCGGCTAGACGCAGCTTGGGAAACTGCCGCGTCTGGCACTCGTGCACTTGTCGGGCGGCTCGCGCCGGAAGTGCGCTGGAGCGGATGGCCGCGGGTAGGCATCCGCGCGGGCGAGGCCTCGCGCCCGGAACCCGCCCTCGCAGCCGCACCGTGCGAGGTCACGGTGCTCGTCGCCAACGTCACGCGCCGGAGAGCGAATTGGCGGGGCTTGCTCGCAGCTGGCGCCGACGCATGGTGCCTGCAGGAGGCCCGGATCCCCGAGGCAGAGGCGGCCTCGGCGGTGGCCACTGCCAGGGCGCGGGGCCTGTAACTGCATCCTGGGCCGCTCGGCGCGGGGGAGCTGTTGGCGGCAGCTCACCAGCTGCGGTGCGCCCAAGTTCGCGCGGACCCGCCCCTAGGGCTCTCGAGGCGGCACCCCGGCCGCTTGCAGCACGCGGTGCTGCACTTCGGCGGAGGCCGCGCGGCTCACTTCATGAACTGCTACGGCTATGCTGGGGGGTCCAGCGGACGTGGAGCGGAATGCCGACCTCATCCTGGAGGGCGTGGGGTGGCTGCGGCGGCTGGGGGATGTCCCAGCATTTCTCGTCGGCGACTTGAACTGCAAGCTTGCCGACTCGGGCCTGGACGGGCTGCTGACGATGGCTGGGTGGCGCGACTTGCTCGCCGCAGCCGAGCCGACGTGCCTACTGTCGCAGGGAGAGCCATCGCGGATTGATTATGTGTTGGCGAGCCCAGCGGCCCTCGGGCTTGTGCGCGCCGTCGGCCTTCGTTGGGGCCTGGGGCT